TATTTCAATAATCACATCACAAACCTTCACATGTTATCCATTGAGTATTACTGTTTTCAATAAACCCTTCAACATTCCATTCTTCAAAAAGATGGTGGCTATGGAAAACTCAACCCAACCCTTTTTCTAGTCGCCTATAATATTATCACTAATCAAACCATAAATATCCAAGGAATGATTTTTTCAATCATGCATTAAACCATAAGGCTTCAATATCCTAATTATTGATGCTCTCACCTTGGACATTTAATTGAGTTTATCATCGCCAATAAGTGTTCTAATCTAGAAATGAGTTCTTATGTGGTTTGACCACTACCCACTATTATGTTTCAAAATTAATTTTCATGTCATTCCCATCATGGGGACACTAGCCGCTTTGCCCATTCTACCACTTCCTCTGTGACTATAAGAGGCCAGCTTGCAAGTATTTCGAGGGTTGTGGACGAGCCATATTAACGCACTGGCTCGCACTGAGTGGATAATCAATCATTAACCTATTGAAATAGTTCCATATTTGGAAGAGAATCTGAGGAAGCAGGAGATGATGATGATGAATAGGAGGAGGTCTAAGATATGGGTTGTTTTTTGAGTTGTTGTTTGTATTTGTTGTGGAGTTGAGGTGGTTGTATTTTTTAATATAGTAATTTATGTTTTTAGTCTCATTTATAATTTGATTGAGTTTATGGTTGTTAGCTAGTCTCTTCTTATAATTATCTAAGTCTATTTCATAAATATGCTGATCATCACCCATTTTGTTGTGACAAAGAGGAAGAAGTTGTAAGGAACATGCACATTAGCATAAGTAAATCACATAATATGGGCGAGTTTGCAAAGCTTGGGGAGTTTAAAAATAAATAATTTTTTTTAGAAAAAATACGTATCACATGTTATGTATAACTTGTATTACATGCTCTACATACTTTATCTAACAGTAATTCTCTATGTAATATGTGCTTAAAAGAATATCTTATGAAGTTTCTTTTGACTTCCAATATGGGGAAGGGTTATTACATAAACTACTTATAAAGAGTTTCTTATTGAATATTTATTATCATCAAAATGCGAGAGATTATTATTTATCAACTCCATGTGCCCTAAAAGTTTTAATTAATTTTGATGATTATAAATATTAAAAAAATATAAATATTAATTTTAATCTAGTGCATGTAGAAGATAAGTGCATCATCAAAATGAAAATTTTTAATATTTTAGAAGTTTTAGTTTTGAAATTTTATTTTAAATTTCAAAAATATTTGTGTAAAAATTTATTGTTTTCTTAGATATTTACATAAGAATTTAGGGCTAGCATGCATGAAAAAATATTAGTTTTGATACATCATCAAAAATTTATCTTGATCAGGCACGAATCTCGAGAAAAAAATCAAGTTTGAAACTTTCAAAATTAAATTTGGGATCATCCAAACTCCGATTTCAAAAAACATACAATTGAACTAAACGTCTCGAGAATACAAACCCAACAACACCAAATTCGACTCAATCTAAGCCCAAATGGGTCCAAATCAAGGACATGAATCACATTTGGGAGGTTTAAACCAAAAATTGGATTACCAAACTGTTTCCAAACATGACATGCTTATAGTCGAATCGAGCAGATCAACGAGACGAATCCAAAGAACCAAAGATCACGAAATTTCAACATCACTAAGACCTTCAAGTGCATTGCAAATGGTCCACGGGATTCAACATCCAACATCCATCAAAATCACTCCCCATTCACCCTTGTTCTTCCCCCAATTTATGGGCCTTGCCACTCTAGAAAACCTATAAATATACCCCTCCTTCCTCTTAAAAAGTGGCCGCTAAGCCTAGGGGTGTCAATTCAAGTCGATGGGTTGTGTTCGGATCGAACCTGACTTGACTTGGGCGTAAATGGGTCAACCCGAACCTGACCCGTTTAGATAAATGGGTCAGGAAATTAAACTCAGACCAGATCCACACGAGTTGCCATGTTGACTCGACCCGACCCCGCAGACCCCTTTGACTAGGCAGCACGACGGCAGGCAAGGCGGTGCTATAGTCTACACGAAGCCCGATGGGGTCAACGTTGACTAGATGGACCAAATGTGTGGACTCAATGGAACGTTGACTGCAGTCGGTGCAGACTGCGGAGTCACTAGTCGTGGACTAGGTGAGTAGCCAACGTGCTGATGGCTTGAGGCAGACTGCGGACGGTTGGCTAGCCAGGCGACATCCGTCATCTAATGAACCGATCCAATCCCTCTAAGGTAGAGGCTTTGACAAATCGACGTCCAATCCCTCAAGCTGGGGGCCTCAATTCCAGATTCGCTTCCTGTCCCGCGTGAGAAAATAAAAATGGGCAGATTGTAGAGGCGCGGAGCCGGGTTATCGGATTGTCCCGGACTCAGACCCGTTTATTAAACTTGTTGAAAGTTGAGACACAAACCCAACTCATTTATTAAACCCTAATCTGTATTTTTTTGAGTCGGGTTATTGGGTCGTGTCAATTACTATCACCCCTACCTAAGCATAAGTAAAGCAGGAGAGATCAGAGATCACTCTTGCCTCCTCGACCACCACCGGAGTTCCGCCGGACCACCATTTGACGCGAGAGTTCTACTAGACCACCACCTGACGCCGGAGTTCTACCGGACCACCACCTGACGCCGGAGCTCTGCCGGACCACCACCTAACACCAAGAGTTCCGTTGGACCACCAAGTGATATCAAACTTTCATCTACCACCAACTTCAACAATATGGTTGACATTGGTAATTTGATCGCCCTCGAGGGCAAGTCAGCCCACTATAATCTATTCGAGTTCTAGTGGAATTATTTTCAACTGGGCCAAACCTCGTGGTTTTTCCAGTTTCCAGTTCCACATAGAACATCTTGTGTTCTTTGTGTGTGAGCTGGATATTCGTGTAACGTTTAAGACGTAGGATTATAACTCTATCACGGTGTATATTCTAGCCCGCAACAAGTTTTAAAAATTTATATTAAATATTTATTAAAAAAAGAAAATTAATTAAAATGAAAAAAATATATGATAAAAATATAAAATAAGGATTATAAATTTAATTATGAAAAAATATATAATAAAAATATAAAAATTAAAAATTATATATTTAACTTATAAAATATTAGTGAGAAATCATTATAAAAATTTGAATTAAAAAAATAATTAACACAAGCCTAATAAGCCTTACTCTGTGGGATAGTTGGCTGACAAGTACCAATAATTCATCCAACCTGACCAAACCACTCTAATCTTGCCAAAAAAAAAAAAGTTAGGTTTAAGTACCTGAGTATTATTTGGGTGAATTTTGGGTTGAAATATTGTTTAATTAATTTTAGGGTCTTATTTGGGTTGACCCAAAAAACTTGAAATTGGTTCAAAATTGACTTGATAATCATTTGAATCGACCCAAAAACTTAAATTTGTGTTGATCTAAAAATGCATGGTTTATATAATAAATGGGTTAAGTTCAGATGAAATAGAATGGGGTCGACTTAGATGAAAATTTGTAAACCTTATGAAATAGAATGATTTATAATAAAATGTACTTGATTAGATCAACTCCATCTCGGACGCAATCCGCAACTTAAGGCTTCATTTGAGACAATTCTTTACTTACGAAAGGGGGAAACACGGGAGACAGGTGGCTTGGGCGAGAGAAACAAACTCGGGAAGAAGATGAAGAAGCCAAATGCAAAGGACAAGCATAGCAAAAGTCCATAAAAATCACAAAAATTAAAAAGATGCATTAATAAGTTCGCCTTTTCAAACAGGATGTTTGCTGGATCTGGCGAGCAGGACAATCATAGCAAAGGATGATAGGAAGAACAGAATATGCAGACATTTGTTCGCAATTATATGAAAGAAGGTAATGCACCTTTTCATATAAGGATGCGTTGATATGAAGAAGAAATAACGGAAGGAAAAACAACGGGATATTCATTCACGAGCAGATGGTATGATAGATAAACACGGAATGCGCCATTTCAAATTGAAGATGGAAGAAGTTATAGGAAGACGGTTAAAAAAATTAATGATGGATATTAATTTAAAGTTTTTTAAGGAACAATCAAGATGATATGTGGAGATTCACAAGCGATATTTTAATAGTAATATAGATTTATGAAATGATTTTTTAGTGCAATTTTTTTTTAATTTAAAAATTTTATACTAAAAATTTATTCATAAAATAATAAAAAAAGGTCTCAAATAAGGCCTAAATTAGCACAGAACGAAACATTCGGATACTATATTTAGTAGTTGGTGGCCACGCTCCTTATCGATGAACTTTTATTTGGTCCAGTCATAGGACGTAGCTCTACGTTCAGCTACCAATAGAATCGCGCCACGATTTCTCACTATTTACCGTGAGGCCCGACAACCCGACCCGGAACTGACCCAGGATGGCTCGGTATTTCTCGATTTTGCTAGGTATTGCTCGGTATTGCTAGGTATTGGTCGATTTTGCTCGGCAAGAACCAATACCGAGCAAATACCGAGTAATACCGAGAAATACCGAGTTGTACCGAGTTTTTTTTTACCAAGTTTTTCTAGAAAAACTTGGTAAGAAAAAACTCGGTACAACTCGGTATTTCTAGAAAAACTCAGTACAACTCGATATTTCTAGAAAAACTCGGTACAACTCGGTATTTCTATCAAATACCGAGTATTTCTAGAAAATACCGAGTATTTCTAGAAAATACCGAGTATTTCTAGAAAAACTCGATACAACTTGGTATTTATCGGTATTATTCAGTAATTGTCTTCATGGAGCGGTATTTCTTGTTATTGTCAAGCAATACCTAGCAATACCGAGTAATACCTCGCAATACGCGAACATAGCTTTCCCGGGTTCCAGTCCGGGCCAAGTCATCGAGCCGCACGATAAAGAGTAAGAGCACGTGGGCGACATAGTCAGAGGTCCTTATCCACAGCCTCTGCGGATCTCCGGGAAACACAGCATCCGCGTGAATGTGCAGTAGTAATATGAAAAAATGCAAATTTGTTTTACGTTTCCTATTAAAACGCAAATTTTAAGTATAATAACGCTTCTTCCTCAATTTCGATCAAATCACGTTGCTTTTACTTTAGATTAAACGGCGGCTCTTTAAAATTTCAGTTTTTTTGTTCCTTCAAGAAGAGAGAAATAGGCAAGTAGGATTTTACTCAAATCGGATCTTGTTCAAATCCGTGCATACAAAAAACCCCTAAAACACGGTAGAATTCCGGCTGTCACTCTCCATGGAGACGCTCAAATCTCTTCTTCCGGATGACCTAAAGCTGCTTATCGGCCAAAGCACTTCAGAAAACCTCGACCTAACTTGTTCTTCACTTATGAAATCCTGCCAACTTCTGCCCCAGTTTCAGAGAGTGAGAGCCCTTTTCAGTGGTTCTGTGCCTATTGAAACAGTTTCCTTGCTTCAATCCCCGTTTTTTCCCCCTCTGTTTCAGGTTATTGGACAATTAACTGGTGGAGCGGCTCTTTGTCGGAAGAGTAAGGAGTCAGCTTTGGATTGGAAGAAGAAAGGAAATGAATGTTTCTCAGAGGGAGACTATGCTAAAGCTTTGACCTTTTACTCGAAGGTTGTCGCGATTCCCTACTTATGTAGTTCTATTCAAAGAAATTAGGGGTAGGATGGTTCTTTTGACCGTTTTGTGGACATTATTTATTAAGATTGAAAGGAAACAAAAGTGATGTTCGATTTCAATCGAACTGGACCTAACTTTCTTAGAGGGCAAATTTAGGATCAATGCGTATGAGCTGCAGCGATTAGGTTACACTGTTTAAAATAAACATACTCTCTACGATACTGCGATTCTTCGGTAGGGCTGCTTTTATCAAGCGGATTAGTACTGCACTAGGGGCGATATTTCTTTTATAATTTTAGCATGTTAAACAAGTAATCTTGATCAGCATAGTTATGCAATCATCTCATATCAGCTGTTCAGATCACTGCAGTACCAAATTTTAATTTGTTTTTACTTGTTTCTCTGCTAGTATTGCAACCTGTTTATTATTTAGTTGCTGTTGCTACTTACACATCAAGGTCTTCTTGAACAGGCATTGCGGTATGCACCAATGGACATGGATGGTATGGATGATAAGTTAGTTGGAACTCTTTATGTTAATCGTGCATCTGCACTATATGTATGTGTCTCTATCTATTTTCTTCATTGTTGTATTTGTCATGCCCCGGTATTTAAAGTGAAGAATTTTCTTTTTTAGTATATGTCCAATTCATTATATTTCTTTTATCTTTCATTTAATAATATGATTAATTTCAACATCCTGAGCTTATTAATAACATTAAAGAAGAAAGCCAATAAACAATGGAAAACATAATTCATATTTTCATGGTCCAAAATTAGATCATATCAATAGAGTCCAAAATGATATATACACTAGTCACTATGGCTACCAAAGAATACATAAACTAAAGAACTGAAATAAAACTATGCTAGCATCAGTGCATACATAACTCAAGCTGCATGCTCCTTATCTGAAATCATTTAAACCACATAATGAGTTAATAGCCCAACAAGTACTTAAAATCTTACT